TCAAATCAATTGAATGGCAAAAGCGGGGTCTCCCTCATGCACACATATTGCTTTTTTTGGCCTCAGAGAATAAATTCCATGGTCCTGCGGCTATTGATTCCATAATATGTGCTGAAATTCCGGATCCTGATCTTGATCCTGAACTGTATGCAGTTGTCACAAGTTCAATAATGCATGGCCCGTGTGGTACAGTACGTCCTAATAATGTGTGCATGAAGAATGAGAAATGTAGTAAGCATTACCCCAAGGAATACTCTTCTCAAACAACTATTGATGAAACTGGGTTTGCTAAATATCGTCGGCGGAACAATGGTAGAGTTTTCAACTGTGGCGGGGTTGATCTGGATAATCGATGGGTTGTACCCTACAATCGATATTTGTTACTACGATTTGGAGCGCATATCAATATTGAATATTGTAACAAGACAAGGTATGGCTGAAGTAAATCTTATTTATCTATATGACGTTGTTGTTTCCTTTATTATATTACCAAACTCAGATTCTTAATGACAGGCTATATGTATATTTATATGCTACACTCATTATTAACTTTATGCATGCATATGAATTATGATTTAATTTCCAAAGATGAATAAAAACCAAACCAATATTTGTGCGATTTTTCTTTTTTTTTAGTTATTTTATAAACCCAGTGTTATCTTATTGGTGTGACTTCTTGCCGCAACTCTGTAATTTTTGTAATATTTTTTGGTGTGTTTTCCTTCAATTTTTTTTTGCCCCTTGGATAAGCTATTGTGATCCATTTGTTGCCTTTTGTTCTCTGTACTTTGATTTCTTATTTAATACAAGTCACATTTAAGAAAAAATGCAATACAACTTTTTCCTACTTCCCTATCTAACATCTACAACTTGGTTTTATTTGATGTTTCTATAGGGCTGTGAAATATTTGTTTAAGTACATCAACAAACCGAGGATCGTGCAATGGTCACTGTAGCTGCACAACAAACAGCTTCGGCTATGGATGGTCGGAATCGTGGAACTACGGTTGTGCAAATCGATGAGATAAAGGCATTCATGGATGCCCGGTACATCACATCGGGAGAAGCATGTTGGAGAATTTTTAGGTTTGATATATACACTCACTCTCCAACAGTACTGCGTATGTCCTGTCATTTGCCTGGTGAGAATACAGTGTATTCAAATGTTGATTCTAACGTGGAGGAAGCGGTTGAGTCTAGCAGTTCCCAAACCTCAATGTTGTTAGCATGGATGGATCTCAATCTTCAGTCAATGGATGCACGGAAATATACCTTTGCGGAGATGCCACAATATTATGTATGGAATAAAAAATACAATAAGTGGCAGCAACGCAAAAAAGGTACGTGCATTGCTAGATTATATTACTGCTACCCATCCGCAAAGGAGCGATACTATTTACGAATGCTATTGCATGTTGTTAGGGGTTGTTGTTCTTATGATGATATTAGAACAGTGAATGGGGTGGTATATGAAACATTCCAAAAAGCATGTTATGCTCGGGGACTGTTATCAGGAGATTCTGAATGGAATGATTGTGTACAAGAAGCTTCGCACTGGGCTTCTGGTTATAAACTTAGAAAACTTTTTGTCACAATTCTTATTCATTGCCAGGTGGCTGATGTGACTTCTTTTTGGTTAAAGAATTGGGAATTACTAAGTGAAGGCATTTTGCATTCACGACGTAGAGAGCTGAATTTACCCCAGTTGAATTTGTCGGAGGATGAAATTAAGGAGTTGTGCCTTATTCATATTGACAAATTGATGGAGAGATTTTCGAAGTCATTAGCAGATTTCCCTGGGTTGCCTGTTCCCGATCAGTGTTTGCGTTCACATACGGTAAACAGGCTGATAGATATGGAGATGAATTATGGACCCGATGACTTAGACTGTTCTGAGGATCGACATAGTAGACCGTTGAATGGAGAACAACAAATTGCTTACGATATGGTATTACATTCTGTTTATACCAATGAGGGTAAATGCTTTTTTGTGGATGGATTTGGGGGTACTGGTAAGACATTTCTGTGGCGAGCAATTTGTGAGCAATTAAGATTTGAGAAGAGGATAGTATTATGTGTTGCTTCATCTGGTATTGTTGCACTGCTCATGGTCGGTGGAATAACTGCACACTCAAGATTTCACATTCCCCTGGATTGTGATACAAAATCAACTTGCAATATTGAGCAATTTTCTGAGGTAGCTGAATTGATTCTCAATGCTTCACTTATTATCTGGGATGAGGCACCGATGGCTCATAAACACAACATAGAGGCCCTAGATAGGACATTGAGGGATATTTTCCGAGTTAAGCATGTTGATTCTGAGTTGAAGCCTTTTGGAGGTATGACTATTGTGTTTGGAGGTGATTTCAGACAGACGTTACCTATCATCACGAAGGGTACACGGACTGAAATTGTTAATTCTTCCATAAAGAGATCTTATTTGTGGCGGTCTATGTCAGTATTGAAGCTAACCGAGAACATGCGATTAAAATTGCCTCATTCTGAAGCATCGGCCAGGTTAGCAATCTCAAATTTTTGCAAATGGCTTTTGGAAATTGGTGATGGTACAAATAGTAATATTTTTGGAGAATCAATTATCCCGATACCTCTACACATTTGTGTTCCCCGTCGCAGTGATCCAATTCCTGATATTGTTGCTGAAATATATGGTCAGTTTCTCTCCACTGAAAATATGTCAACCTATTTGGTTGAGCGAGCTATCTTAGCCCCTCATAAGGACACTGTTGCGGCCATTAACAATTATGTATTGGGTCTATTTCCTGGTGAAGAAGTTTCTTATTTTAGTTCGGATTCGCTACAGATTGATGCCAAGAATCAGCATGTTGAAGAAGGGGACTACACAGTTGAATTCTTGAACTCTTTAAAGATTGGGAATTTTCCGGAACATGAGTTGAAATTGAAGTTGGGGTGCCCTGTTATTCTGCTTCGAAATCTGGATCAGAGTACTGGGCTTTGCAATGGAACTCGGATGATCGTTAAGAGATTAGGTAAGTGGTTTATTGAGGTCCAAATTTTGACCGGGACACATGTTGGTGATACTGTTTTCTTACCACGCCTAAGTCTATCGGTCCACTACAAGAGCTTAAATTTCACTCTGGTTCGAAGGCAATATCCAATTGCACTGTCATATGCAATGACAATTAACAAGAGTCAATGTCAAACATTAAATCACGTTGGCATCTGCTTGCAAAGACAAGTATTTTCTCATGGACAGTTGTATGTTGCTATGTCTCGAGATATGAATTGCTCGTGATTCACTCGGTTTCTGGGACATAATCATTATGTAGGAGAGGTGGCCGAGTGGTACGTCGGAAAGGGGACTCAAGATTCTTAGCTGTGACTCTCAAGGTAAACCGGTGAAGACTATGCAGAACATTGTGTTCACTGACATTTTTGAGTAGTGGTTTATTGATGAATTATGTTTTATTCGATTTGAGGACTAAGACTGTCAAATTTATCGGGTCGTTACAATTTGAATCTTGAGTTCTCAATTTGTCCAAATTATTTTCCTGTTTTTAACAGCCAATTATATGAAATGTGATTTATGCACACTACTTTATATTTAATTGTACCTCAATTTACTCTACCGAAGGGTATGCGAGTGTGACCGTTATATTGCAATACGAAGAAGAACTTACATAGTCGCAACTGAACTAAACTAAATTAACTCCCAGACATACTTCATTCCCCGCCATTCAAAATAGAGGTGTGTTTTAGAATCTAAAGTTATTAACAAGCGTGGCTTACAAATGAGCTAGAAGCAATACATACTATTTTATAATTATAAAATTACCACTATGAATTCATGCCAGGAATAATTATTCATTAATGATGTGATTAACCAAACAAATTGTTTGTTTTAAAATAGCAAAGTTGAAAACGCCTTGACAACTATCAATTTATCCCGAAATTTAAATGAAAGTTCAACTTAAACAGAAATAAGAATAAAAAGGATAATGGTGAAAATTGTGGATGTTCAATTGTTCATAAAATAACGTGGACAACATACTTAATTTTATGGGATGTCAACAACGTATTAAAAAAAAAAAAAGAATTGCGGGAAACAGATGATGACGTGGACGCTTGAGGAGTGTGGAACAGGTTCAAGTAACAAACTAGATAAGGGCCCGACCCGATGGTCGGCTCATTTGATAAATTAAACAATGATTATAATTCTAGAATGCGTGACACATTTTCTAAGTATTAAAGAATTTGAATGATTTAATTACAGGAAAAGTTAAATAATATACATCATAATATTTCTATCATTCTCACCGATTCATTGTCCAAAATCCTTACTAAAAGACACATATGCAAAGAAACCGACATCTAAAAAACCAAACCACACTTCAATTTTAGTCATCAATATCAAAAGTAATGCAAAATTTTTAGACTTCTCTAAGATTGCTTCACCGTCAATAACATCTGCATATCCACTAATAATTATGTTTTCATCCTCATAAACGACACCCCTATCTCTTCATCAAATATGCTCTTTTTTCTTATCAACAATGTCAAGGATGAGTTAGCTCGACTACCCTCTATAGTGTTGGAAAACTGGGACCCCCTATTAATCATAAATATGTTGGTTAAATTTGTGTTGCATTTAATAATCTTTGTGAATTAAAAGATCATATTAATTATATTTTTTTTATTACAAGGGTAAGTACGTACTACGCGACGAATTGACAGAAAAGGCGACTTGATTATGTTGGACTTGCATGTTATTTGTCGTAATACTCAACTAGATTAGATTTGTGATTAGTAAAATTTCATGTAAGTATTTTTATTGTGATTAGCTAATCTTCAAATGTATTTCTAACTTATTATGAATGTTCATTCATATTACATGTTCGTCTTCAACGAATTGCAAAATTGCAACAATCTTATGATAATATAAAACAAGACTCATTTCTCGACACTATCATTATAGATATTGTAACTCCATTTCCTTAAACAAATGCGGCCAACGGGCCGGGCTATAGGCTAGTATATTTGATAAAACCAAATAATAAAGGGCATATTATACCTATAACCCACTAATTTAACACATACAACAGTGCGTGATAATACATAAACGACACATAACAAGTATACAAGGCAAACAAGTTTGCCCAATTATTCCAAACGAACAACTCAGGTACGAACAGTACTTAATCAAATCAAAGGCACTGCCAAAATTAGAACTAAACAAGAACACAAAGGCGGTTGCATCAAATAATTAGCAGTACAAATAAAATGACGGCAGCCCACGTCCGTACATGGAGAAATCATCCTTGGTAGATAGCTAGGTACGTAATTAACGAGTTGAGTTAAATAACTCCATGCACGCACGTGGGCAATTATTGAACAGATCGACAATCATCAGCATTGGAAGCCGGGAGGCACGGTTTTCTGGCAGGCGGAGAGGAGCAGGCTGAGGGAGACGGGAACGGTGAGGTTGATCCCGGCGACGTTGGCCTTGATGACGGTGCAGAGGCACACCGCGGCTTCCACGTCAGCCAACCCTTCGATCAAGGCGCAGCACTTGTCGGAAGGTGGGGTCCCAATCACCGCGTGGACCAGCCCCTTTAGGAGGTCCGCGCAGGCTCCTAGCTTCAACACGTCCTTAGGGCACTTGGGCGGCGGCGCGGGAGCTGGCGGCGTGGGTTCGGGAGCCGGTGGCTTGACTGCTGGCGGCTTGGGGGCAGGAGTTGGTGGCTTCGGTGCGGGGGTTGGCGGCTTGGGAGCTGGTGGCTTGACTGCTGGCGGCTTCGGTGCGGGGGTTGGCGGCTTGGGCGCTGGCGGCTTGGGTGCGGGGGTTGGCGGCTTTGGTGCGGGAGCTGGTGGCTTGACTGCTGGCGGCTTGGGTGCGGGGGTTGGTGGCTTGGGGGACTCGCCGCAATGACAGTCAGTGGAGACGGAGAATGCGGTGAAGAAGAGGAGATTGGTTATTAAGAAGACGGCGGTCACTTTGGTGCTGCTGGCGGCGGCCATGGCGGCTGTCGCCGGTGGAGGATTGTGTACGTAGTGGGTTTTGGGTTAAGGGTGGATGAGTACTGTGAAGGGCCAAGCGCTGTGGGCGTTATAAAGGGGAATTGTAAGGTGGGAAATGTGTGAAGTTGAAACGAGTGGAAGAGAGGTGGCGGAAAGGGATGATGATGTACTACTGGATATCCAGATACTGGATACTGATTGGATAGATAGCTAGGTGTGTTACATTTGGACGTTTGTTGAAAGAGAGAAAGATATGAATTTGCGGTATGTTTTGATTTTGTTAGTATGTTGAGTTTGGGCTTTGGGCCACTTGTTCGGTTTGCAAGTTGCTGTTCTGCAGTGCGTTCGAGGGCATGCAGCTGGCTTCAGCAAGGATCGTACATGGACAATCTCCATTATTTTTGGCTGGGCCACAAGGATCCATCTTTGCATTGTGTGGTCTATTGTCTACGAAGCTACTCGACCCATAACTGCATTGGTTTGGAGTGTGTCGACTAGAGATGCGCATGTGGGTGATTAATGTACGGTTTGATATTGATGAACCCGCAAATAATTTGAACTAGCAAAAGCCCGTTCGCTATCGTTTCGCATATCAGAAAAATAAATATTATAAAGAGTAATAATTTTAATGTTGATCGAAAAGTAAAAAAGTAATTTTATTTCATTCTTAATCATTCTTTTCATAGGTTTGTTATTTACAATAGCATATGGTCGATAAAATTGCATAAGGTAGAAGGGTCGTCGAATAGATGATTATTTATGTTTAAACTTCTTTCATGACGCTATTGTTTCAATTTGTATGGCTAGTAGTTGATCTTGCTGTAACTTTTGCATAATGAACCAATTTTTTCGAATCTTTTCAAAAAGTATTTTAAAAAAACAATTGAGTGTTTAGCTAAAAACCTATTAGAATTACTTTCTAATATAAGAGGTAATTTAAAATGACTTATTCGGGCCCAAATGTACAAATTTTACCTCTCAATTCTTATGCGTTTAGATTATTATTTCATCGTTCCTCGACATATTTCACGTTAAGTTGTGTTTGTTTTGATACATTTCAGGTCCTAGCACGTGTGGAAGGATCGAGGTTGAATTTTTTGATAATTGGAGGTCAAAAAGTGCAAAAACCGAAGAAAAGTCCGAGGTAGGCCCCAGGAAACATCAGCAGCTCACGGTCGGACGAGGCAGTTCACGGTCTCCTAAGACCGTGAACTTCGACCACAAACTGTGAACACCGAGGCGTCCAGCGAGGTTCCTGAAGTTACTGACGACAAGACAGTTCACGGTCTCAAAGACCGTGAACTGTGGTCATTGTGAACTATGGCCATTGACCGTGAACCCAGGAAGCAAGGCGGTGCGTTTTGGAGACGACTATGTTCACAGACGCATTAGGTGTTCACAGTCGTGAACTGGCCAACGCGTCCGTGAACTGATCGCTTTCGGGCAAATATGAAGACAACAGCGGGGAGAGAGAAAAGAGAGCTGGTTTTTGGAGAAGAATTAGTTTCTTTCTATAAGGTTTGCCCAAAAAACACCAAAGGGGAGTTCTAGTGAGAGAGAGAGAGAGAGAGAGAGAGAGAAGAGAGAGAGTGCTAGAGTGATCTTGGAGCATCATTGGAGGCTTGGGTGGAGATTTAAGCCTAGAAGAAGAAGAAGAAGAATTAGCTCAAACTTGTAATCCCTCTCTCTCTCTCTCTATAAATTCACTCTTTTCTCTTGGGTGTTGTAGATCCCTAACTAATACTTTGTAATTACTTGTTTAGATTGAATCATTGTTTATGGGTATTGTTTAATCCAATGATTGAGTTATTATTCATGTTGATTGTGCATGCTTGTGCTTAGCAACCTAAGGATTGTGCATGTTTTGCGCTTAGCATCCTTAGGTTTGTGCATGTTGGTGCTTTGCAATCTAATTAGCCACTTTAACCTAGCTTAGAGAGGAAAATCCCCCTTCCAAGGGAGACTCAATCAAGTTGGTTTTCCTTAAGCTTTTTAAGCCACCTAACTAGGTTAATTTAGGGCAACTCTTAGTGTTGAATTAAGCAAATCGGTTAATCGCGATTAAGTCGTCCGACCTTTGAGTTAAGTGAGGGAGTATGTCAACTACCGATTGCCTAAACCGTGAGGGTCGAGTGACACGGACTTTAATGTTTACCTCGGTTTAGCAATTGAGATTGTGATCTCTGACCATATATGCATCCCTCTGCGGTTCGGGGTTACCTTGCCCATATCAATCGTTTCAATCCAACGAGTCACGGTAGCTAGTTAGGGGGAAGCAACTCCTGAGTGAAGCTCCCTTCGTTAGAATTTTCCTTTATTGCTTGTTTAGTTTGTATTTTTCTTAGTTTGAAAACTCATTATCCCCTAGCAACCCTTTTGAGCTGTGTGTCTAAGGGTCGCTCTCATTTTAGGTAGCTCTCTCTACTTGAGCTTGATTGATTTAGATTGAACGACCCTACTTTCTTCATGTCTACATCGTTATCGAGTCACCCTTTTGTTTGGAAGCTCCATTCATACCATTTGAGCTTAAACGAGGTTCCACATGACTTATTTGTGTATGGTTTTGCTAAGAGGTGAAGTGAGTGTGGAGGTAGTTTTTCAAAGAGAGCATTGTTCCTTAAGTTCAAAAATGTGGCATGTTTATAGCTCTCTTTAGCCCCGAAAGAAAAGATAAGAAAAGAAAAAAAGAGATCAATAAGAGGGCAAAGAAGAAAATAGAGTGGCCACCAAAAATATAATAAATGTTGAACATGCTTTTAGAAGTGTTGCTTAGCATGCAAGCTTTAGGAACACTTACATGTTGTTTGCCTACCATACTTGATGACTCGATATTTGCACATGTTTTACCCTTTGTTTCTTGATCGTTTGAGATTTAATTATCGCGTCTTTGGCCTATTTTACGCTAGGTTGTGTTCCTTTGTCACATTTCAGGTCCTAGCACATAAAGTGAAGCATAGGCGCAAGTTTCAAGTCAATCAGAGATCAATTGGCGATTCGGGAGAAGAAACTCGGGCATGACCTGAAGAAGAATGGATTTCTACCTCACTTTATGGACAAAGAATCATGCAAGCTTGTCATGAAAAGAAAGAGGACGAGACTACGAGCGTCTGGGATCAAACGGCGACTGATTCAGAGTCCGGACGAGGGAGAAACGAAGCATTGAATATAGGGGAACAGGTTCGGCAGTAAAAACACGGGCGCGCCTAAATCAAAACACGGCCGTGCCCATATTTAGGCAGGACCGTGTTTTGGCCGACGCCCGCGGGCGTGTTTTTAACACGGGGCAAAGCACGGGCGGGCTGGAGCAAAGCACGGCCGTGCCCTCGACCGTGTTTTGCCCAGTGATGCCCTTTTAGGCAGATTTCAGCCAAAACAGAAGGGGATTCGAGTTTTAGAGAGATAGAGCGATTCCTAGAGAGAGAAAGCGACGAAAAAGAGTTCCCAAGTGCCCTAGCTTGATCTTCATCACCATTGGAGCTTGGCTTGAGCTTGAAGAAGTGTCGATCAACGTCCAGGAGCAGGAATCCATCCTTCACAGTATGAATTCCGCGTCTGATTCTGCTTTTGCTTCTTTCTCCATGGAGTAGTTCTCCCATTCATCTGGGTATGGAGAACCCTAGATTTGTATGTTAGGTTTGATTGTATGAACCCAAGTACTGATTCTATGATTTGATTATATTCAATTGAGGTTTGAATGATTGAATGACTTGAATCCTGATCAAATTCCTGTTGTTTCTGCTTTAACCTAGAATGAGAATATCTGCCTAGGTTGATAGAGCATCCTTGATTGAAGGTAGGGAGTTGGTGACTTTAGCCGAGGAGCCAACTCACTATTCTGTACCGAATTCACTTCGGTAGTGGAGGTTTTGTTCGTTAGGGCCTCAATCTGTTTACTCCTGTGGAGGTTAATCGCTCGCTAGAGACTCAGATTGAGAGGGTCTGAAGACCTTTAGTCGAGACTTCAGGCTGTTTAAGAACTTTCCGCAGTATAACTATCATAGAAACTGAACTTGGTAATTGCAATCCGGCTTAACTGTAGTCTAGGGGGAACCATATCCGGGTGACCTCTCTTAACCTGAAAACAACCGTTTACTTGGTTTGTTTGTTTGTTAGTTTAGACTTGCATCAAATTTTCATTGCTAGATAACAAGAATTCACCGAGTAGTCATCAAATCTAGGACCCGGGTTGACATTTAAACCCAAACCCGCTATACTACACTTTAGGAAGTGGTTTCACTTGGCTAATTCCTAGAGTGACAGTAGAAGTGAGTCAATACTCTTGTGCTTGAAATTGAATAGCAAAGGTAGCAAGAAAGATTGTTGTGAATGGTTTGGTGATTGGTTGTGGTTTGGAATCGACGGAATTGTGGTTTTTTGGCTGATGCTAGTGGTCATTGAGTATAGGAAAGGGTTCTAATCGAAACCTTAAAACCTTTTGTGGTTTTAGGATGGAATTGTGGAACCTTGTGCTATGTTTGCCACCACCCAAAAAGCCTTTTCCCCATGTCCTAGACCCTAGCCAATCATTTGAACCTGTGTCCAAGACCTCCGGACAACCTAGCAACGACACCCATCTTGTAAGCTCTAACATTTAGAGGCTATCGTCATGGTAAAGGGACGTTAGGATTGAGCATGAATACTCATTTCTTACGCGTTTAGCTTAGTATTTCATTGTTCCTCGACGTATTTCACGCTAGGTTGTATTTTTTTTATACATTTCAGGTCCTAGCACGTGTGGAAGGGTTAAGGTCGAATTTTGGGATAATTGGAGGTCAAAAAGTGCAAAAACCGAAGAAAAGTCTGAAGTAGGCGTCCCAAGAAACAACTGCAGTTCACGGTCGGACGAGGCAGTTCACAGTCTCCTAAGACCGTGAACTTTGACCACAAGCCGTGAATACCGAGGCGTCCGACGAGGTTCCTGAAGTTACTGACGACAAGGCAGTTCACGATCTCAAAGACCGTGAACCATGGCCATTGACCATGAACCCAGGAAGCAAGGCGGTGTGTTTTGGAGATGACTGAGTTCACGGACGCATTTAGGTGTTCACAGCCGTGAAC